CCTTTTGAAGGTGTGGTGACCAGAATTGCAAATGAGGTCTCACCATTGATTTGTATAGGGGCATTATGATATTGTCTGATCTGTTTTCAATACCCTTCCTAATAATCCCCAGCATAGCATTGGCCTTCTTTATTGCAGTCACACACTGTCTCGACATTTTCAGTGAGTTATCTACTACTATCGTCACGGTGTTAAGTAGCAAACTGGCTGCCCCTCCTGTGTGGTTAAAGAAAGCCATACAGTGGGACCACCCACAGAGAGCCAGGATCTCTGCTTTCTCCGGGACTTTCTGGGGGGTGCTGGAAAAGGAAGTCTCTGGAAACTAACAAAGAAAGAAATTGTTACTTTTTTAAAAAAAACAAAGAAATACCCTCGTGCAGTTGATGCAGCCTGAACGTGGTCCTGGACACACAGGATAAAACAACATTCCCCAACACGGTGCCCCGTGGGCACCATGTGCCCACAGACATTTTACCTGGTACCCACCCACCAAGCATGGCTGGGTGGGGCTTTTGCCCAGCAAGGCTTCTGATTGGCCACTGGAGATTTGATTGGCTGTGAAGATTTTTTTTAAAGTTGCTTTGGCGGCTGGCTCCACCACAGCTCAAGGATCTTGTGCTCTGTCTCTTGGGGCAGCCATCTTGTGGTTGCGCCCACCAGTTTGGCATAGTGGTTAGGAGCACAGACTCTAATCCTGGAGAACTGGGTTTGATTCCCCCACTCCTCCACATGCAGCTGCTGGAGTGATCTTGGGTCAGTCACAAGTTCTCTCAGAGCTCTTCTCTCAAGGGCAGTCCTCAGGAGAGCTCTCTCAGCCCCACCTACCTCTCAGGGTGTCTGTTGTGGGGAGGGGAAGGGAAAGGAGATTGTAAACTGCTCTGAGACTCGGAGTGAAGGACGGGATATAATCCAATCTCTTCTCCTTCTCCTTCCATCCAGTGTCAAGAGTTTGGTGTAGTTTGCTGTTTGGTGTCGTGGTTAAGTGCGCGGACTCTAATCTGGGAGAACCGTGTTTGATTCCCCACTCCGCCACTTGCACCTGGCTGGATGACCTTGGGCAAGCCGTAGTTCTGACAAGAGCTGTTCTTGAAAAAGAGCCATTTCTGTCAAGAGCTCTCTCAGCCCCGCCTACCTCACAGGGCGTCTGCGGGGGGGAGGGGGAAGGGAAAGGAGTTTGTAAGCCGCTCTGAGACTCCTTTGGGTAGTGAAGGGTGGGGTATACATCCAATCTCTTCTTCTCTTCTTCTTCTTCCTTTTTCTCCTTCTCCTTCCATCCAGTGTCAAGAGTTCCAAAGGTGTCCACAGGCTCAAACAGATCGGGGACCCCTACGTTAAATAGAAAAGGCGCATGGGGGGGGGGGGCCAACCTATTCGGGTCCCAGACAACTTGACTAGAATAGTGGAGAAGGGAGAGTTTGGGACTGGGACAGGGTTTCCAAAGTGTTCACCCTTCCCTGGGAATCCTTGCAGGCCCGTAAACCGCAAAAGCTTGCTGAAATCAAAAACAGAAGCCCGGCAGGCTCAAACTATTTAAACAAAGATGATCTGTTTTAAAAAGAGCCGAGAGATAAAGCAGCCTACAATCGGCTCTCGAGCTGTAGGGTTTGCAAAGGGATATGGAGTCTCCGGGAATGAAAACATCAAATTCCTGCAGGAATAAATATGGTCACGATTTACTGGAAAGCCGAAAGTGAGGGGGGAATCAATAAGGAAGGCCGAAATTCCTCCGAGCGTGTGCGCGCAGTGTCTTAACGTTGGCGATGGGCCCCTGCGACTAATAATATTTATTATTAGGTCCCTCTTTCAGTAGAGAAGAGCTGAGTCACCTCATTGTATATATAAATTGGCATAAATAAAAGAATGGAAAAATACCCGGTACTTTGTTTTTAGATGACACACACATCAGAGCAGGGAGAGGAAGCAGTTCCTTTGTTTGTGCATGTTTGTGTGTATGTGTGTGTGAGAGAGAGAGTTTAGAGTGTCAAGACTATAGGGCAGTGGTGGGGTTTTCGGAGGGCCCAATCCACCACCGACCATCTAGCCAGTGGGGAGCGCCCCACCCCCAAAGAGCCCCATCGTGCCCGACATGCCTGGCACAATGACATCAGCCGGAAGTGACGTCATCGCCTTGGGGACGCTCTAGCATTAGGCTCAAAACTCTATAGTGACCGTCGAGGTTTTGGCCACATGCTAGAGCGTCCCCTGTACAACACGCCCAGCACGATGATATCACTTCCGGCTGATGTCATCGCAGGGTGCGCAGTCCAGGAACGTGGTCCGCAGCCTCCTGCCCGCCAGCCAGGTAAGACTCCCCAACTCACACATTTTTCCAGAGGTGCCCACAGGGTCAAAAAGGTTGGGAAACCCCACCCGAGGAAACCTGTGTTCAGATTCTCGCCCTGTTGTAAAGTTTACTGGGAGATGATGGAATTGGGAAGGGAGAGCCATTGACCCCCTGCTCTGAGTTCCTTTAAAAAAAAAAAAAAATTAACAATTTTTATTAAATACATTACAATACAAAACACACAGGAAATTCAATTGTATTAAGAACTCAACAACTACTGAATACAGAGCATGGATTTTCTGAGTTCCTTGGAGGGGGGAAGAAGAAGAAGAAGAAGAAGAAGAAGAAGAAGAAGAAGAAGAAGAAGAAGAAGAAGAGGAGGAGGAGGAGGAGGAGGAGGAGGAGGAGGAGATTGGATTTATACCCCGCCCTTCACTCGGAGTCTCAGAGCAGCTTACAGACTCCTTTCCCTTCCCCCTCTCCACCGCAGACACCCTGTGAGGTTGGAGGGGCTGAGGGAGTTCTTTCGAGGACTGCCCTTGAGAGAACAGCTCTGAAGGAACTTGTGACTGACCCAAGGTCACCCAGCAGCTGCATGTGGAGGAGTGGGGGACCAAACCCAGTTCTCCCAGATTAGAGTCCGCGCACTTCTAACCACTGCACCAAACTGGCACCTTACTCTAAGGAGGGGGAAATACGTGCTAGAGAGGAGGAGGAACGCTTCTTCTGTGCTATCGTCTGCTCTCTGCAGCACTTATATTGAAAAGAGTCCGCTTTTAGAAAACACACGCTAATCAAGGATAAGACAGAGCCAATTGCATTTGGGAAATGAAAGTAACCTTGGCGGGGGATAGTGCCGCCAAGTCACAGGAAACACATGGGAACCCTTCAGGGTTTTATTTATTTATTTATTTATTTAACTTTTGACTTTATATTCAGAAGTGACTTTACCATGGCCTGCCTCTGCATAGCAACCCTGGGCTTCCTTGGTGGTCTCCCATCCAAGTACTAACTGGGGGCGACCCTGCTTAGCTTCCGAGATCTGATGAGATCCAGCTAGCCCAGGCAATCCAAGTCAGGGCTAAGGCAACAGAATCACCCAAAAATATATTGACGGAATTTGGGATTTCAGGTTTCGTTTGTTTATTTTGAAGTCCCTCAATACTAAGCTTTTTAAAAAAAAATTATCAAAGTTCTGGGCAGGGGTCATTTCCTGTGGGAGTGCACAGGAGCGGAGCTCCGGCAGTAAAGAGCCCAGGGGGCGGGCACATGCAACAAGCCCCGCCCCCTGCTCCCAGCAGCCCTCAGTCAGAGCAAGAAGCAGCCAGGTAAGTTGCAGAGCCCCCCCCCCAGTCCAAAACAGTCCAGTGGCACCTTTAAGACCAAGTTTTATTCAGGTACAAGCTCTCCCTCCTCTGCAAGGACAGATCTGCACATTCCCTCCCCCCCAATAGCTAGCAATCCAAAAGAGTCCAGTGAAGCCTGAGCAGTGGGTGTCGCCTTCTGACACACTTCCGGTGATGTCCGGGGGTGTGGCGTATGCAAATGAGTTATGCTAATGAGCTCCTGCACCTCTTTTTCTACGGAATGACCCCTGGTTCTGGGTAAGTTCCAAATTCCGACCAACTGCCAGTTTGTACAAATATCCGTCTCCTTAATGAGTCACTCACAAATCAGCCCTTCCAAGGTGCCAGATGTTGCTCGAATTTGTCTGGCTGGGCCAAGGCTTTCAAATAAGCCTTCAAATGAGCAGAACATAAAACAAAAACTACCCTGACCTGGTTTCCCAGGATAAGCAGATCTCAGAAGCTAAGCAGGGTCGGTCCCGGTTGGTATTTGGACCACCAATGCTCCCTCTAAGCTGTGGGGTCGTGTGAGCAAACGTTCTACTTTGTGAGCTCCTGGCCTTCAAGTTGTGAGCGAGCGATGTGGCTGCTGGCATCAATTCATTTGCTCTGGAGCCACGTCCCTTCCTAAGCTAGGACAAAAAAAAAATGTGTGAGCCAGAGGCTAAAAAAACTGTGAGCTAGCTCGCACTCACTCAGCTTAGAGGGAACACTGGGGGAGACCCACAAAGACGTCCAGGGCTGCGCGGAGGCAAGGAATGGCAAACCGCCGAGAGCATGCAACCAGCCCCAGTTCACCCGGCGGGCTTCCCTGGCAGAGTGGAGATTCGAACCCAGTCGTCCCTGCTCCTAGTCTGACGCCCCGCTGCCTCCTCTCCTCCAGTGGTGTTTCTCTCCCTCGTGCCCAGGGCTATTTTTGGGCAGGAACGCACAGGAACGGAGTTCCGGCTGGCTCCTGAGTTGGCCATGCCCAGCAGGAACTCATTAGCATAATAGGCCACACCCACCAGCAGAAACTCATTAGGATTGGCTACGTTAGGGGTGTGTGGCCTAACATGCAAAGGAGTTCCTGCTACAAACAGGGTAAACAGAATAAGAAGCAAAAGGTGGGTGTGGCTGGATGACCACACTTCTGGTAACATGGGGGTGTGGCCTAATATGCCAATGAGCCATGCTATCAAGGTGTGGCCTAATATGCTAATACGTTCCTGCTGTTGGGTGTGGCCTATTATGCTAATGAGTTCCTGCTGGGCTTTTTCTACAAAAAAAGCCCTGCTCGTGCCCTTTGCGAAATGAATGTGTACGCCTGTTGTCGTCGAGCCTTTTCTTCTGCTGTGCACGCTCAACCAGATTTCTTTGTCCTCCCCCAGATCCGTGCTTACATCGGAGCTTTCGCCCCGGATGACGACGAGAACGCCGACCTCACCGCCCTCCGTTTTTTTTCCGTGAACTCCATCGTTGACCCCTGGGTCTTCATCATCTTCCGGACGTCGGTGTTTCGCACATGCCTCCACCGGGTCTCGAGGAGGCTGAGTTCAAAGAGAGCCTCGCACTCTCAACTCCTCGAAACGTCGACCCGGAAGGATTCCGGGCAGCCGCAGTGAGAGCACGGCTTTCTTCCATTTCCTGGAGACGGAGCTAATGTGGTTGGATGTCCAGCTGGTCTGTGGAACAGCCCAAAGTGAAGTGAGTGGATGCTCGCCGTAGCCAAGAGAAGAAGCCGCGATATCTCCTGGGTTATGACCACACCATTGTCCGTGGAATATGCTCCTTCCAGGTGGAATCTGGTGCTTGTGGAGAAATCTGGGAATTAGTGACCAAAGGCTACCAAATGTTCGCTAAGGGCCATACCTGATCTGTACAGCCCGAGCCTTTTTGAACTGACAGTGCCCAGTCCTTCAAATACCAATGTTATGAGCGCTCTCCCGTGGTTTTTACAAGCCACGTTTATTCATCACTTCAGCTGAACGATAAAAGCTCTCTTGCCCCAGGCAACGATTTCTCTGCTTCAGCTGAAAGATAAAAACTTCTCCACCGTGCAAAGATGTTCTACCTGATCGCCTGGTATCGATGCCTCACTCACCCTAGGCGAATAAGCAGGTGGTTGTCTATTGACCCGGGGTAGGGCAGCGGCGCCAGTCCAGGCCCCGTGTCAACTGTCCTGTCTTGAATTTCCCCCATACGCCTTGACAAATATGTGTGCTTCTAAAAATCCTCCTTGAAACCAGGGGTGGCTCCATGTGCCAGCTAGTAAATGCCTTGGTGGTGCTCAAACTCTTGTGGATTTACGAGCAATGCTGAGGAATAAGCCATGAGGGGGGGGGAAGAAATAGACCGGGATGAAACAAACCAGAACACCACAGTCCATCCAGGCCAGATCAGACAAGATGGCCTTCCCGGCATTTTAAAATGTGTTCTGATTCGAATCGGGCTGAGCACATGAACCCTTCCCCCCGCCCCCCGGCTATTAACTTACTGGAACCATCTCTACCCTGGCTCTGGCTAGACAGAAGATGAGATGGAAACCTCCTCTCTCTCCCCCCTCCAGAGTTAATAACAGTTCAGGGGGGGTCAGCTTTGATCAACAGAACTGAACATAAGAGACGCCAACGTTGGATCAGGCCAAAGGCCCATCCAGTCCAACACTCTGTGTCACACAGGGGCCAAGAATACCAGGGGCCATCAGGAGCTCCACCAGTGGGGCCAGGACATTAGAAGCCCTCCCACTGTTGACCCCCCCAAGGACCAAGAAGACAGAGCATCCCTTGCCACAGAGCCCCTATCTATGTTGTTGTTGTTCAGTCGCACAGTCGAGTCCGACTCTTCGCAACCCCATGGACCATCTCCCGCCAGGCCCTCCTGTCTTCCGCAGTCCTCCGAAGTTGGCTAATTTCATGTTCGTTGCATCGATGACACTGTCTAACCATCTCATCCTTTGCCGTCCCCGTCTTCTTTGACCTTCAATCTTTCCCAGCATCAGGGTCTTCTCCAGTGAGTGCTCCCTTCTCATTTGGTGGCCAAAGTATTTGAGCTTCAGTTTCATTATCTGGCCTTCCAGGGAACAGTCAGGGTTGATTTTTTTGAGGATTGACTGATTTGATCTTCTTGCAGTCCAAGGGACTCTCAAGAGTCTTCTCCAGCACCATAGTTCAAAAGAATCTATTCTTCGGCGCTCGGCCTTCCTTATAGTCCAACTCTCGCAGCCACACATGACTACTGGGAATACCATTGCTTTGACCATGCGGACTTTTGTTGGCAGGGTGATGTCTCTACTTTTTATCATGCTGTCTAGGTTCGCCATCGCTTTCCTCCCAAGGAGCAGGCGTCTTTTAATTTCATGGCTGCAGTCACAGTCTGCGGTGATCTGGGATCCCAGGAACGTGAAGTCTGTCACTACTTCCACGACTTCCCCTTCTATTTGCCAAGGAGTCATGGGGCCGGATGCCATGATCTTAGTTTTTTTGATGTTGAGCTTCAAGCCCACTTTTGCGCTCTCCTCTTTTACTCTGAGCAAGAGGCTCTTTAGATCCTCTTCACTTTCAGCCATTAGAGTGGTATCATCTGCATACCTTGTGGCTAACAGCCACTGATGGACCTCTGCTCCAGATGCTTATCTAATTCCCTCTTGAAGCCGTCCATGCTTGTAGCCGCCACCACTTCCCGTGACAGTGAATTCCATGTGTTAATCACTCTTTGGGTGAAGAAGGACTTCCTTTTATCCATTCTGTGTGAGAAGGAAGGATGACACGCCTTCTGTCCACAGGCCAAAGAGTTAATCTGTTAGTTTACTTTCACGAATTACGGGGAAGATCCAACCGTGGCTGCCCGCTGGCTGGCAGAAACGTGGGTTGATAAATCTATCAAGTAAATACATGTGAGTCAGCCTTCTATCGTCTTGTCTCTTTTGGCCTTTCGCTCACATCCAAACACTGGTTTTATTTTGTCTTTTCTTGGCCTGGAGACCTTATCTGACCGCAGTGCTGTCGGTTTGCTTTGCCCAGTCACTCCCAAACACCAGGGTGGCCTGGTCTCACCTACCCACTGGTGGTGGATGTGGGGGTAAGGTTGCCAGGTCCAGCTTGGGAAATTCTTGGGGATTTGTGGATGGAACCTGGTAAGGGCAGAGAGAGACATCAGCAGGGTACAGTGCCATAGAAGTCCACCTTCAAAAGCAGCCATTTTCTCTGGGGGAGCTGATATCTGTGGTCTGGAGATGAGCTGTAATTCCAGGATCCCCCAGGTCCCACCATCCGGTGGAATCCTGACTGCTTCTAGACCTGCAGAGCTCCAGGTGGGAGCCAAAAACGAGATATCATGAGAGGAAGTGGAGGGAATCCAAAAACAACATCCGTGATGAAAATAACGAAGAGTCAGTAAAGATATGTTTGCTAAGATCAAGTTCTGAGTTTAGCCCATTAGGGCACACTGGTCTACCCCCTGGGCACCACCACTGTGGGTATTGCAAAATTTGCCATATGGCCATTGAGGGAAGAGAAGAGGAGAGGAGATTGGATTTATACCCCGTCCTACACTACCCGAAGGTGTCTCAGAGCGGCTTACAAACTCCTTTCCCTTCCCCTCCCCACAACAGACACCCTGTGAGGTAGAAGAAGAAGAAGGATTGGATTTATACCCCGCCCTTCACTACCCAAAGGGGTCTCAGAGCGGCTCACAAACTCCTCCCCCTCCCCACAACAGACACTCTGTGAGGTAGAAGAAGAAAAAGAGATTGGATTTATACCCTGCCCTTCACTACCCAAAGGAGTCTCAGAGCGGCTTACAAACTCCTTCCCCTTCCCCTCCCCAGAACAGACACCCTGTGAGGCAGGTGGGGCTGAGAGAGCTCTGACAGAAACTGCTCTTTTTCAAGGACAGCTCTTATCAGAACTACGGCTTGCCCAAGGTCATCCAGCCAGGTGCAAGTAGAGAAGTGGGGAATCAAACCCGGTTCTCCCAGATTAGAGTCCGCGCACTTAACCACGACACCAAACTGGCTCTTGAGGGGGAGACCATTACGATTTCATGCTCAACTTCAAATTTAATTCATGTACTCTTATGCCCATGTCCACGGGTATATGTGGGATCATCACAAGCATGATTGTTTTGAACAAAATATTCAGTTAAAGCAGCATCCAAATTATTATTCCTAATGCGTGACCGGACACTCGGTTTTGAGTGTCCTGTCACGCATTAGGAAAAATAATTTAGAAGCTGCTTTAAATGAATATTTTGTTCAAAACAATCGTGCTTGTGATGATTTTTGCCATTCAGTTTTATTTGTTGCTAATACTACTGTTAACATAAGGAAGGTGTTGCTGCAAGAAGAGGCTAGATGGATATACCAGTTGAATTCATTACTGCCTTATGGGCTAAATTCAGAACTTGATCTTAGTTGTTTTCTATAATCATACCTGTATTATGTTAGTTGTAAATTCAGAACTTTGGCATAGAATGTAAATCTCACATCTGGTATTGTTCCGACAGAGTGGTCTTTGAAAATCACACCCTGTCACTTTAAACATGGTTATAATGCTTAGCCATGGCTGCTAAGGCTTGACACTGTGTATTTACTTTTAAGGGGGGGGAGGAAGGTTTTGATGTTTATATAGACTGTTAATATGTGAAAGTAATAATATAGATGGCATCAGGGTTCATTTCCTGCAGGAGCGCACAGGAGCGGAGCTCCGGCAGTAAAGAGCCCAGGGGGTGGGCACATGCAACAAGCCCCACCCCCTGCTCTCAGCAGCCCTCAGTCAGAGCAAGAAGCAGCCAGGTAAGTTGCAGAGCCCCCCCCCCCACGGTCCAAAACAGTCCAGTGGCACCTTTAAGACCACGTTTTATTCAGGTACAAGCTCTCCCTCCTCTGCGAGGACAGATCTGCACATCCCCCCCCCCAATAGCTAGCAATCCAAAACAGTCCCGAGGAGCCTGAGTAGTGTTGCCTTCTGACACACGTCCGGTGACGTCAGGGTGTGTGGCACATGCAAATAAGTTATGCTAATGAGTTATGCTAATGAGCTCCTGCACCTCTTTTTCTACGAAATGACCCCTGGATGGCATTTTACAGTTGGGTTTTTATAAATAATTTAAAAAAACATTTATGGATACACTAGCACTTTAAATGCTATTTGCATAGGCAGACCGCGGCTGGTAGTAATTAGCAGTGAAGACTTTATGTTTGGCTTCTAGAATCCAGCTAATACATCGTGAAGACCTGGGGTTCTGTTATTAGCGAGTCAACATGGAATGTTTCCTTCAAGAGTTGATAAGTAGCAATGTACGTGACAGTTTTTTTGTTTTTGTTTTAATATTTAAAATTTTTTATTGAAGTAATGAAACATTTATCAAACAAGAAAAATATAAAATATAACTTCAGTTTCTTTTTTTTTGTAAAAGTACCGAATTGAAGGGTACAACTGTACAGTAAAGCAAAGATATACCAAAACAACAATATGCATAAGTATAAGTTGCCATCTGGATATACCAAAATCTATGGTTATTCACAAAATTGGATCTGTATGGGCTATTCCGAAGAGAAGACTGTAGAGGGTTAATATCTTGCCTATCAGAGAACACAAATGTGACAGTTTTGAGTGTAATGGCTTATGATTTTTTAAAGCTATTATCTATAATTGAATGTGTATCTT